GTATACCAATGAGATGTTCAATAAATTGCTTCCATTGCTAGTCTAGAAGTCCCTTGAAGGCAGAGACCATGTACTGCTTTTCTTCTGTGTACCTCCTACCACCACCAGTAGTGACAATTCCTGGCATTTGAAAACTAACTTCGCTTAGTATTATTTTATCAAGTGTAGTGCTGGGCACAGCAGACGTCTAACAAGTCAACTAGTTACCTTGAACTGCTTGTTCAAATCATTTTCTTACTCATCTTTTTTTGACAACCCAAGGCCACACTTTTCGACAGAGCAGCATTCTTAGTTTACTAACAAACCCAGAAAGCACCAGCAGTTAGGGGTTATCAGAGCAGTCTGGCTTCCTGGCACAGCATGGCACAGGAAGCCCACAGTGTGGTACGTTCTCAGCTCCTGGCTTCCTGAGTCACTGGATATTGCCCTGGAGGTTGAGACTGAGGAATGCCATTGTTGTCTGCCCCTGGGTTTCATAGAAGTGATCAAACCCTGCCTCCGAAGACCAATTGGAGTTTGCGCCCAGAGAGAACAAGCACATGCTTCCTCGGAGAAGAGCAGAAATAGCTTTGACAGCAGCAGGCCGTCTTGCCATGTTCCATCCCTCCCTTTGCATGCCAGTCAGTTATTTCTGTTCACATCAGCAGAGATGGAGAGAGCAGTAGAGGTTCAGGTGTATTGCCTGGAATGATTTTCACCAGAGAGAATACTAATTTGGATTTTAATGCAAATGTACCTATTTGATCTCTGCCCTGCAAACGCTCCTTAAGCACCTGAACTGTATGTACAACCAGTTCTCAATTAGCGTGCATGCTAATCAGGGCCTATCAGAGGCTGCCTGGTATGCGGGATGCACCTCAGGGTCTGTTCTTTGACTCTGCTCAGGGTAAGATGCAGGTATTTGACTTCCTTCCACAGCATTCTACACAAGGCTGCTCTCTCAAGAAAGTCTGTGCCTCTGGATGCCAGCACGCCCGAGTCCTTCCCTCTAAGTGTGAATGTGTTTGACCAAATCTTCCCTTTTATTCAGGACCCAATTTTACATTTGAAAGACTCCATGTCTTGTACTGCCAATCTAACCTCATAAAGGCTTTGTCTCCTGATCATATTCTTTAATATCACTCTCTTTTTTAAAGGTTTATTTATTACGAGAGAGAGAGAGAGAGAGGCAGCATCCCAACAGTGTCTTGACCCCAGCTTTAGCCAGCCCACATCATGGGCACTTACATGCCTGGCATACTCGGGGAAGTCTCTGGAGGTGAACTTGAAACCCTCGAACACAGGTCAACCTTGTTGAGTGTCATATTTTACCACCGTGCCCCCATCCTGCCCCTCCTGATCATATTCTTGATCTGAATCGGGTTTGTTCCTCTGTCCCAACTCCTATAACCTTGAGTGGAACTCACATTTAATCTTGTTGGGATTCTTACTACACCAGCACATGCTCGTTGTCCTCCCTGGCCAGGTCCAGCCTTCTAACTAGGTCTGAGTCCCCTGGCGCTTCAAGGTTCTGTTCTCTTCTGACCTATTGGAGCACTGACTGGCCTTTGCTTCGTAATGACCTAGAATTATCTTACCTCTCTATTCAGAGGGTCATCTGAAAGTAATTGATATGAGCCAAGACTACTAGTGATAATTCCTGGCATTTGAAAAATAACTAAGTATTATTTTAAATGCTGCTAAACAGAGACAGAGCTAGTTTTTTGGAACCTAAAGTTTATACCAGTTGTGGGGGACTTGTTTTAAGAAAAAATTTACAAAATTATAAGTGTAAGATTAGGGCAGGACTGGGGCCAACAGGCAGCATAATGGTTAAAGTGCTGGACTCCCACAGTTCAAGGCCTGGACCCAATGGTTTGAAAATCACATCATGCTTGGGGTCAGCAGGTGGTATCGTGGTAGAGCTCCGGACACTCCCACATGGCTGACCAAGGCTCAAGTCTTGGACCTGGTGGCTTGCTTTCTCTCTTTCTCTCTCTCTCTCTCTGGTCAAATTAAAATAAATGAATGAACAAATAAAATTAAATAAATAATTGTTTAAAAAAATAAGAAAAGAAAATCGAACCATGCACATGCATGCGCATGCCCAAACTCTTGAAAGGAGAATGGAAAACAAGATTTCCATAATTATGAAATTTTTCTTTTTCATAAAATATTTATAGTGAATTCTAAAACTCCCCCAAGTGATATCTGTAACTACATTTTACATAGATGAAGGCATTTGAATGAAAAGGATGACTAGAAGGATTGAATGATAATAGCACTCAGAATGTTCTACAGTTAGTGCCAGCCGTGACATGTTGGTTGAGGTGTCTGAATCCCATATGGCCAACTGTGTAGTTTGAGTCCTAGACCCAGTGGCATGAAAAACATACTAGGTTTCTGTGCGATGTGCCCCAAATCCTGAAAGGAGGCACACATGGAGAAGGGATGGAAGTGTGACCATTCCTAATGAAAGGTGCTTTCTTCTCCCCCACTCTGCCTGTCTCTAGCAAATGCACACACCATCTGGCAAATTAAAAATAAATAAAAGAATGTGGCTCTGTTAGAGGTACTTTAAATAACTTACATTTAATGCTCACAGTTCTTTGATCATTGTGATTCCTCCTTTATAGATGAGAAAACTGAGGCATAGAGCAATAATTTGCAAAGATGGAGTCAGGAAACTGCAGAACCGTGCTCTCTGTCGATCTGGTCTCTATCCAGACCCTTCACTCTTTCACTAAACTCTCTCACTGCTCTGGCTAAGGTCATGTAACTTAGGCCTTAAGGTCGATATAAAATATGGTTGATTCTCAGTTCAAAGCTGCTTGAACTGTTCTGTTCTTTTTTCAGTTTGGATCAATAGCGCTTCTGTGTAGGAGAAACTGAGAAATTTACAGCCTATAGTAATCATAGTTTATACCAGTTGTGGGGGACTTGTTTTAAGAAAAAATTTACAAAATTATAAGTGTAAGATTAGGGCAGGACTGGGGCCAACAGGCAGCATAATGGTTAAAGTGCTGGACTCCCACAGTTCAAGGCCTGGACCCAATGGTTTGAAAATCACATCATGCTTGGGGTCAGCAGGTGGTATCGTGGTAGAGCTCCGGACACTCCCACATGGCTGACCAAGGCTCAAGTCTTGGACCTGGTGGCTTGCTTTCTCTCTTTCTCTCTCTCTCTCTCTGGTCAAATTAAAATAAATGAATGAACAAATAAAATTAAATAAATAATTGTTTAAAAAAATAAGAAAAGAAAATCGAACCATGCACATGCATGCGCATGCCCAAACTCTTGAAAGGAGAATGGAAAACAAGATTTCCATAATTATGAAATTTTTCTTTTTCATAAAATATTTATAGTGAATTCTAAAACTCCCCCAAGTGATATCTGTAACTACATTTTACATAGATGAAGGCATTTGAATGAAAAGGATGACTAGAAGGATTGAATGATAATAGCACTCAGAATGTTCTACAGTTAGTGCCAGCCGTGACATGTTGGTTGAGGTGTCTGAATCCCATATGGCCAACTGTGTAGTTTGAGTCCTAGACCCAGTGGCATGAAAAACATACTAGGTTTCTGTGCGATGTGCCCCAAATCCTGAAAGGAGGCACACATGGAGAAGGGATGGAAGTGTGACCATTCCTAATGAAAGGTGCTTTCTTCTCCCCCACTCTGCCTGTCTCTAGCAAATGCACACACCATCTGGCAAATTAAAAATAAATAAAAGAATGTGGCTCTGTTAGAGGTACTTTAAATAACTTACATTTAATGCTCACAGTTCTTTGATCATTGTGATTCCTCCTTTATAGATGAGAAAACTGAGGCATAGAGCAATAATTTGCAAAGATGGAGTCAGGAAACTGCAGAACCGTGCTCTCTGTCGATCTGGTCTCTATCCAGACCCTTCACTCTTTCACTAAACTCTCTCACTGCTCTGGCTAAGGTCATGTAACTTAGGCCTTAAGGTCGATATAAAATATGGTTGATTCTCAGTTCAAAGCTGCTTGAACTGTTCTGTTCTTTTTTCAGTTTGGATCAATAGCGCTTCTGTGTAGGAGAAACTGAGAAATTTACAGCCTATAGTAATCATAATTATTCTTTTTGAGCTCCTCTGTCTCTATTATGTGGATTTGGAAGGCACAGTGATCCCTTTGGAAAGCTGTATACAGGAGGGATGTGCAGATGCTCTGAAGGAGGAGGCAGAGGTAGCAGGATGTGGTGGACAGCATTGGCCTGGTGTTAGGATCCATGACTTCACATCCTGGCTCTGTCATTCCTAAACTGAGTGACCTCAGGCCTGTCCAATGTCTCTTGTCCTCCATCCTAGTACTCTCCAAGCCTTGTAGAAAGAAGAGCTAGATGTTTGCAAAGACCCATCTTGATTTAAGAGCCTGACAATATTAGTTTCTCATCTTTTGTCACAAGCTGCTAAATTTTAAATATGTATATTTATCAATATTATTTTGAATGGAAACATGAGGTTTTTGAAGCAAATGACTTATTATTTAATTAAAGCAAATCATTGTGCCAGTGCCCTTTGGCTCCAGTTCTTACCTCTGAGGCAATGAATAGGGTAAGCATCAGATGGGATGTTACCCTGCTTCTACTGGAGTTTATACCACATGCAAGGAACTCAGGGAAAAAATGATGCAGGCTTTTATATAAGAGAATGGCAAACACCCTCCACACACATTTTTTCTTTGGGAAGGAGCCTGAATTGTAACTCTTACCCTTTGGAGTATAAGTAAATCTTTCCAGTGGGAAGATGAAACTAGTTTCTCCAGTTTTACAACCCAGGGGTTGTCTCTTGGATAAGCCCCCAGTCTTATCCCTCCCTTAAAATGTAAACTCATACCTCTTGGGAAGTAAATGTCTCTGAGGTCAATCACTTTAGATGCTCTCTCTGCTGCTAATCAGTCATAAATTAAATTCCAAGATTTGTTCTTTTAGTTCAGGTGAAATTTAATCAGAAAGTTCTAACTATATAAAAACAAAAAATGTTTTCTCAACAGTCCCACAAAGCACTGATGCGAAATAAGAAAGTAGAATTCTCTGCTTTCCAAGGCCATGAGTCTGATTCCAGAGCTGTCCGTATGAGAAAAACTTCACAGTCTGTGGAAATGCAGACTGACTCCTGGCATCCATGCCAGGTGGGCTAACCAGGATCTCCAGGACCAGAGCTTTGGAATCTGCATTTCTGCTTAGCTCCCCAGATGATTCTTACACACCACACGTATCCACTCTTTTTCTGTGGCTTAAAAGATTACTCAATTTTTTTGCTTCCAGAGACAATTGATCTCATGCAGCTTTTGCTGATTCGGTCTGTGATTTGCAAGACTTCCCAGGCTCATAAAAACATGCAGTAGTCTTTCTGGGAGAGGTTATGAATGACATTTTAAAATAAATACTGATAATTGCTAGCTTTCCAGGATCTTTTCTGTATTCTGAAAAGAGGATGATAAAAGGTTATATTATTAGTAAACAGCTTCTTATTAAGTAACTGAGAGAATTTGAAGCAGATTGTGTTTTATAGATTTTTGTTTTACAGAAATGAAATCAAAGATGTAAAGATGTGTTCCTCAAATTAAGTGATATATATGTTTTTTTAAAAAAACATATTTTAAAATTATAGCCCAACCTCAAAATGAAAAATCTTTATTCAGGAGAGTACTTAAAAAAGCTCATAGAGACACCAGCAGGTGGTGTGGCAGTTGAAGTACTGGGCTTCCCACATGGCCAACCACGGTTCGAGTTCTAAACCTGGTGGCTTGCTTTCTCGCTTTCTCTCTCTGTCTCTTTCTGGTCAAATTAAAAAATAATAACGATAAATAAAATTAAATAATTCTAAAAAATAAAGTGAATAAAAATTTTAAAAGCTCATAGAAAAGTAAAATTAAAGTATGAATTTGTTTTGGTACAAAAAACTTTGAAATCCATGCATACTTTTTTCATAACATGCATTTCTATAAATTATTTTTTAATTTTCATTCATTCACTGTACATCAATACAGTATACAAAATGAGATTTTCCATCCAGTATACACTGTATATTGGCTCAATTAAGGATTTTGCCATACATGCTATCATCAACAAATAATTTTCTATTTCTTGTTTTTCTTGTTTTTTATATATTTTGCTCCCCCCCACCCCGATTCCGTAACTCTCTCCTGCTGCCAATTCCTCCCCTTCCCCCATATTGTCTCTGGTATCTACAGTTGTTTTCCATACTTTTTTTTTTCTTCACATTTTATTGATTCACTAAAGCTCTTAATTAATTTAAAGAATTTCAGTAATAAGCACAGCTGATATATACATATTTATGCATGCATGTCTGACTTTAGGCATAAACCTCAGCAAGTAAAGTGTACATACTATGAAGTAGTACCTTGCTGGGGCTATATAGCTTACTTCAGTCATTAAATAGGTATTAATAGGTACTTTTAATGCATTTTTTAATTTAAAAAAAGTTTAGTTTTAATAGATCAAAATAAAAAATGTTAAGAGAATTTTGCTTAAAACTTAAAGCCAGGAAAAAGGTTAGGATTCAGTTCAAATAGAAGGCAGATGAACGTATAAACAGTTCAAGAGAAGACAAAAATCCTTAAATATGGAAATCAGTAATGTTTTGTCTAAAGTTAAAAAAAAATTTATTTCACTAGTTCAGACTCAAGTAATTAATATCTCTTCTATTGAATTTGCAGTGTTACTGTGGTCTGATCTTTCCATTTTAACTCTGGAAGTTAACATATAACTCCAGACTTTTCCCTACCTTTAGGGTGGCCATCCTCTTGGTTGTTTTTGTACTTTTCTGTATGTTCGACTTTAGTTTTCCTGGTATAGCACTCTCTTCAGCAATTCTTGGAGAGCTGGTCTGGTGTTGGTAAATGTTTTCAGGTTTATCAAAGAATATTTTTGTCTTTTTTTTTTCCATATGAAAGATAATCTTGCTGGGCATAGTATTCTTGGTTGAAATTGTTTTTCACTTACCCCTTTGAATGTATTTTCCCATTCTTTCATTGTTTACATTGTTTCCAATGAGAGGTCTGATGTTAGCCTGATGGGATATCCTTTGAAAGTAACTTGATATTTCTCTCTTGCCAATTTTAGTATCTTGTCTCTGTGGTTTTGGTCAATCTGGCTACGATGTGCCTTGGGGAAGATCATCTTGGGTTGATTCTGTGTGGGGTCCTTTGCATTTCTTCAGTCTGAATATTTTAGTGCCTCTCTAGGTTTGGAAAACTTTCTTCCAGGATTTCATGGAATAGATTACCAGTGCCCTGATTAGGTTCGTCACCTTCTGGGATACCAATGATCCAGATGTTTGGGTGTTTGATACTATCTGGTATCACTCGTATGTTATTCTCATTTTTAGGGGTTATTATCTTAGTCTTTTTTGTGAATTTCTCTAGGTCAGTGGGTCTAACTTCTATATCTGAGATTTGGTCTTCTGCATGATCTAGTATGTTTTTGACATTTTCAACAGAAATTTTAATTTTCTGTATTATAGCCTTCATCTCTAACAATTCTGTTTGATTCTTTTTTGTGATGTCTATCTCCTCTTTAGATCATGTAAGAACTTCCTCACCTCTTGGAACTCGGTGTCTCTTTTCTCCTGCGTCTTCTAGATTTCATTGTCTCTCTTCTCTTGCATCTCTTTAGCTTTGTCACTATGAATATTTAAAATTCTTTATCTGACATATCCATGAGTTCCTTTGTATTATTTGTAGAGGAAGATAAGTTATTCTTTTCCATTAAAAGAGAGATATTTTCTTGGTTTCTCATATTTCTTGTGCCTCTGTGGTAGTTCTGGTCATATGATGGATTATACATTTTTACACTATTTTTTGGAGTTAAACCTGAACAGTCAAGAGGAATGCACAAGGAAATGACCTGCAGTCTGACTCCTGGCTAGACTGGAGAACAGGAGGGTGAAGTCTGGGCAGAGGGTCTTTGGTGGTTGAAATCTATGAACTTTTTGAAGCCTCCTAGTATTAGCAGAAATGTATTTATTAATGAAAATCTCTTCTCTCTACTTAGAGGAAAAACTTTGGAAGGAACTATCGACTTTTTTTTTTTTATTTCAGTCAACTTCATTTAATACACTCAACATATGAAATTTTATTTTTGCACATTAATTATATATGTATTTTGGGACCAGCAGGTGGCATGGTGGTTACGGTGCTGGACTCTCCACACACCAGACCACAGTTCAAGTCCCGGACCTCGTGGCTTGCTTTCTCACTCCCCGCCCCTCCATTACTGGTCAAATTAAAAATAATAATAATAAACAAAATGAAATAATTTTTTAAAAAATTATGTATGTATCTCTGTTTTTTTTTTTTTGAGAAGATGCTTCTATATGTAAACCATAATGTCCTATGCTTTAAAAAACTTCTTCTAATCTTATTTTTTAGTATTTTGCTTTTTTTTTTTCTCTTTCATTCTGCTGGAATATGAATTTAAGTATGCAAGTATTTCCTTTGTATGATCTGGGCATTAGACTAAGTCCATTGGATTTTATAACTTAAAGGCCATTGCTAACTTCAGTTTTAGAGAGGAAGCCAGGGAGATTGAAAGGAAATGACTAATGGGAAGTAAAGAAACGGAAGCCACGGCATAAGAATTACACTAGGAAGTTTTGTACTGAAGGAACAGAGAAGTATAGAGTTGCAGTTAGAGGGTAAGGTGGTTGGTAGAGTGTATTTGTGGTTGGTGGAGATTTCTTATAAAGGTGAAGTCCGGAGACTAGTGGATGGTGCAATGCTTGTGTTGCTGGACTCCCACATGGCCGACCGTGGTTCAAGTCCTGGGTCTGGTAACTTCAAACTCGTGCTGGGCACATGTGCATGTGTACCCAAAATCCTAAGTGGAGAATAGAGGAGAAAGGATTGCAACGTGGCCATCCCCCTAGGGGGCGATTTCTTGCTTTCTGTCTCTCTAGCTCTGTCTCTCCAGTTAGCACACATACCCTATAGAAACAATTTCTCTTTTTTAAAAAAGTGAAGTCTTGTAGTTTCTGGACTAAGGCAAAGAATCCAGTGCAATAGAAGAACTTGGATGTACTAGAGAGATAGACCTACCTGAGGTAGGAAGAGTTCAGCAAAGACAAGAGAGGAGAATTGCTAGGACCCAGGTAAAAGTGTTAAGGTAGGGGAAGAAGGGGGACATTTTTCCTTCTCATATTATAGGACAGATGTTAAGGCTGTTCACATACCTGATGACCTTAATTTTGTTTTCTTTTCCCTTATGAGGCAGAAGTATCTGCTGATAATGGAAGAGGCAGGTATGTGTGGAGGATATAATAGAAAATTTGAGACAACTTATATCTTGGTGGGAATGGGAACAGAAGTTAATTAGGGCTAAGCAAAAAGATTGTTCAAAAAGGATGAAAACCATGCATATTTTTTGCGATGTGAATTCAGTGGTTATATATTAGGCTTTAGCAATCTGGAATGTCTGGACACAGATGGAAAATGATCAATGATTTGATTGACATAAGTCTGGAGATTATCAGGATGGGAGGGAGAAATCATAGCCAATGTGATGGACCATTTTTCTGTCAAATTGGCAATTGAGGGGCCAGCAGATGTCATGATGGTCAAGGCCCTGGAGTCCCACATGGTTGACTACAGTTTGAGTCCTGGACCTGACAGCTCGAAAATCACTCCAGGTGCATGTGTGTGCATGCCCAAAATCCCCGGATGAGAAAGGGTTGCAATGTGGCCATCCCCAATGGGGGCAATATCTCACTTTCCTTCCCACTGTCTCTCTTTGTTTCTCTTCAGCAAGAACACGCACCTGAAGGCCAAAGACTGAAAAAGAAAAAAAAAAAAAAAACGGGAATGGAAGGCAAGAGGAGTTATGATAAATTGAGAGGAAAGAGGACGTAACTGAAAAGAAATTTCAGTGGCTGTCAAGAGTGTTAATAATTATCCAGAGATACTAGAAAAACTATAAATTGTGAAGAAGAGAAAAAAATTAGGATTTTTTAATTATTATTTTTTATTTTTTAATTTGACCAGGGAGGGACAGAATGAGAGAGAGAGAGAGAGAGAGAGAGAGAGAGAGAAAGAGAGAACACAACCCGCCAGATCCAGGAGTTGAACTGCACTCTGCAATGTGGGAGTTCAGTGTCCTTAACCACCATGCCACCTGCTGGCCCCAAGAATTAGGATTTTAAAGAGAGATCATGTTTAAGAGATGAAAAGATGAGAGTAAATTGTTCAAATTGACAACTTGAGAGATCTTTTGGGTTACAAAAGTATGCGACAAAATTGAGAAGGAAAGGAGACAGTAGATGGCATGTCGGTTAAGGCACTGGACTCCCACATGGCTGACCACAGTTCAAGTCCCAGACCCCATGGCTCAAAAATCGTGTTGGGCACATGTGCATGTGTGCCCCAAATCCCAGGAAGAGTGGAGAAGAAGGGACTGCTGCATGGCTATCCCCCCTGGGGGGGGGGGATGATTTCTCACTTTCCTTCTCACTGTCTCTCTCTTGCATGTGCATGTCTGAGCACATGAACCCTCTGATAGAAACTTTTTTAAAAAAGATGAGCAGAACTCAAATGAGAGAAATGAAACCTAGCATCCTTAAGGATAATGGAGCATCTTTACTAAAAATACAGTGAAATAACCCATTCATTGACTACAGTAGAAACTTCTAAGTGTAGAACTAAGAGAGAAAGTGCTCAGTGCAGAGCTCTTTGATGACTTTTTATCCATCTTCTGCTGTGTTTTTCCAATTAAGAGAGAATTTTTGCTTTCATCCTTTTACTAGTGGTCATTGCAGTGTCTGCTGTTGCTTCCATGCTGCCTTAAATGTTTATTTGACTGTAATTATTAATATCTTTCTACGCAAAATATAGGTGAGAAATCTTTGCTGTTTTTTCTATAGGCTCGCAAGTTCTTTTGTAGAACAATTCTGAAGTTAAAAATGAAAGAGCAAAATGTATGAACCTTATAAAATTTTTATTTACTTACAACTGGGTTAGTGATGTGAATAATAGTTTAGGTCAAATCCTATTGCAATATAACTGTGCAGTTGTAGCAAAAAACAATTATTTCTAGGCTAGCACCTGAAATGTTGCAAACCCAAATCATTTAATGGAATCATGTAGTATTAACAGACTAGGTTCAATCCAGATTGTTACATAATTAACAAGCCGCCTTCCAGGAAGATATAGACACAAAAAAATTCATATACATTTGCATTTAATATGACCCATTTGAAGTGTCAGCATGTGACATGGTGTGTTAAGGCACTGGATTCCCACATGGCTGACTTCGGTTTGAGTCCTGGACCTGCACACATGCATATGTATGTAAAATCCTGATCCAATCACCCTTAGAGATGACTTATTACTTTGCGTTTCTCTATAACAAGCACACATGCTCTATGGCAAAAAAAAAAAAAAAAAAAACTAATAATGATAAAAATAAAGCACTTGAAAGGTGTAATAATATCCGACAGGTTGTGGAGAATAGTTGCACTTCAAATGCAGAATAGACGTGGCACTGCTTCAACTGTGGATAAAATGAGCAATAGACTCCGGAAGCATCTTTTTATCCTGTCAGTTATCAGCATTTTACTGAGCACCTGTAATACCCAAAACATTGTGCAGATTGAAAAATGAGCTTGGAACCACCATTTTCCAACAGTTCACCAAAGTGACTAACAACACAAAGCGAAAGAGGAGAGGTACCCGATATATGTTCTCTAGGCCTTTTAGGAAACATGGAGTGGTTCCTTTGGCAACATACATGCAAATCCACAAAAAAAGTGATATTGTAGACATGGAGGGAAAGGGTACTGTTCAAAAAGGAATGCCTCATGAATGTTACCATGGCAAAACTGGAAGAGTCGACAGTGTTACGCAGAATAAAACAAACAAGGACCAGGTTCTTGCCAAGAGAATTAATGTGCATATTGAGCATATTAAGCATTCTCAGAGCAGCGATAGCTTTCTAAAATATGTGAGGAAAAGTGACCAGAAAAAGAAGGAAATAAAAGAGAGAGGTACTTGGATTCTCCCTGTCTCTCTCTGTCTCTGGGAATCACATGCACTCTATAGCAAAAACCTGTAAAAAAAAATTAACAATTTCTGTAAACTGGCAACAAATGGTTTGAAGTTGACATTTTAAAAATACTATTTCCAATAGCATTTAAATATATAAAGTATTTAGATAAATTTGACAGAAGATATGCAAGTTCTGTACACTGAGACCTATAAAACACTGCTGAAAAAAATTTTAAAGCAAATAAATGGAGGAATATCCTATGCCATGAGATTAAAGACTCAACACTGTTAAAATGTGAGTTTGCTTCAATTTGTCTGTAGGTTCATCCAATCTCAGTCAAAATTCAAGCAAGCTTTTGTCTTGATAGAACTTGAAAACCTGATCCTAAAATTGACATGGAATGCAAAAGCTTTAAAATCAAACAACTTTAAAAAATTAACAGAGATGGGACCAGCAGTTAGCGTAATGGCTATGTCACTGGACTCCCACGTGGTTGACCGCGGTTCGCGTCCCAGACCTGGTGGCTTAAAACTTATGCCGGGCGCGTGTGCGTGCGTGCCCAAGATCCTGAGAGGAGAATGGAGGAGAAGGGATTGCGGCGTGGCCATCCCCCTTGGGAGGTGATTTCTCGCTTCCTGTCTCTCTGTCTCTTTCTGTCTGGCAAGTGCACACGCCCTATAGTAAAAACCTCTAAAAAAAATAAAAAATACTTCAGTTCTCAGGGATATGATGAAGGCAAGTTTACCTTCGGGCCCATAGTCCTGAATTACACAGACTTGCTGCTGAAAATCAGGATTCAAACTGGATCCTGAACCCTGAGGTTGCTCCTAAGACATTTGATTGGTAAAACCACAACAGACCATCAGACTGTCTCATACCGTCGTCACTTCTGCTCACAATGGCGTTGCAGTTTATCCAAACTCAGAGGAACCCTATGTACAGTTAGTGGTGAGGATGTACTGTCTTGACACTTTTTAAAGAAATGAATACTCAATTATTATAATATGCTAATTGAAAATTATTTTTACTTAATTTATCATATTTTTTTTTCCCATAAAAGCTTCAGTTTATACCGAGCATTCTCAGTGAGTCTTCTTCCACCTGCCTGACTTTGGCTCTGACTGTGAGTATGGTGGGACCCAGCTGTGTCTTAATTTCCATGTAAAAGAAAAGTCCTATTCAGAGCCCAATGGCATCATGGTTTATGAACTTCAGAAAGTGAAGCACTAACAGATTTTAACTGCCAGGCTTTTCTTATTATAGTGATACATGTTTATTAGGGAAAACTTTATAAAATAAAATGTATATCACTCTTTATCTTACTGCCTGGACATGATGAGCATTGTAAATATTTCAATGTATTTCTTTCTAGTATTTCTTGGGGCAAGATAAATATATACACTTGTATGCACACACACACATACACACACACATACACACACATATAGAGAGTTGTATATTTGTCTAGCAATATGTCGTGTATGTAATTCTTAACATTGTTTATTATGTTTGCTAAACATCATAGTACATTATGTTTTCTAAATGTCTGTTATTTCAAATGGAGAAGGGAATATTTGTGAACTGTTATAGTTTCTCAGTTATATCAGTCATACACAAAAAATATGGAAAACTTTATAATTTTAGTTACGTACATTCCGTAACAGTAGATGATGGGATTAATAAAACCCAGCCAGCCTTATCAGATTTCTGATAAATCTACATAATATATTTTATATCTTCAGCTTTTTTTTTTCTTTTTTGGTATCAGTTACTGTATCAAGGATATAGTGACCTGTGAACCTCATGATGAATTAGAACTGGTATAGTTTCATAATCCAACTCTCTCCTCTTATAGTAATGTATCTAAAATCACTACATAGCTGAATGGCAGAACCAGTTTCAGCCTCTACCTGTTTGGGTTTTTTTTAAAGAGAAATTTTTGCTATAGGGCACATGAATTCATTGGAGAGACAAAGACAGAAGCCAGAAGTCACCCCCCAGAGCAGTTTGCTATGCTGCAATCTCTTCTCCTCCATTCTCCTCTTAGGATTTTGGGAGCAAATGCACATGCACCTGGCGTGAGTTTTAAGCTGCCAGGTCTGGGTCTTGAACCATGGTTGACTATGTGGGAGTCCACTGATGTAATCATTATATCATCTGCTGGTCCCCAACATCTACCTGCTTTATAACAAATTATCACTAGTGTCAAAGGGTAAGATTAGGAAAGGGATTCTTCTGGCTGGACAGTAGTAAAAGTCATCTATAAATAACATCCCTAGAAAACAGATTCTAAAACCAGCCTCATAATCTAACTGTTAAACCCTGTACATAGAAAGCTGGATCCCATACAGCTGACTGCAGTTCAAATTCTGGCCCCAGTGGCTTGAAAAACATGTGGGTCACATGTGAGTGCATGCTTGAAAATCCTTATGGGATGGAGAAGTAGAGGACAAAGGATTGTGGCATGATCACATCATATAGGGGTAGATGCTCTCTCTTCCCCCCTCTGTGGCAAGCACATATTCTCACTGGCAATTAAAAAAAAAAAAAAAAGAAAGAAAGAATAGAAAAGAAACCTTAAAAAAAAAAAAGAATAGAGATTATAAATGTGCTGTTATAAGACTCCTACAATAATACTACAATCTCATTCCTTGAGATTCTATCTACTAATCAATAGTACATTAGGGAACCAGCAGTTAGCGTAATGGCTATGTCACTGGACTCCCACGTAGTCGACTGCGGTTCACGTCCCAGACCCGGTGGCTTAAAACTCACGCCGGGCGCGTGTGCATGCGTGCCCAAGATCCCAAGAGGAGAATGGAGGAGAAGGGATTGCGGTGTGACCATCCCCTCTGGGGGGTGATTTCTCACTTTCTGTCTCTATGTCTCTCTCTGTCTGTCTGGCAAGTGCACGCGCCCTACAGTGAAAATCTCTAAAAAAAAAAAGAAGTACATTAAACTGTCAGTAGTATAGTCAACTGTAAACAAACTCCCAATAGTATATTCAACTGTAATATAACTTTACAAAGACGATAATAGCTTATGTGAAGAAAAATAGGAGCCAGTTTCTTTGATCTCTCAAGACTGTTGAGGAGAGAGTTCCTTGGCCAGCTGATACCAGGGCTGTGGTGGATAGCAATATGTGTAGAGACACCAGAGCGTTACTCCGTGCTCTACCCTAAATTGTGCTCCTAGTATCTGTTTTGTTTCTTATAGGAAAGAGTCGGCTCCAAGGAGCAGGCACATGCATTCTAGCTTTTTTTCCAAATATATGCTTCACTGGGTG